TGTAGCAGTAGCAGCAGCAGGACTAGCAGCAGTAGTAGCAGTAGCAGTAGCAGTAGCAGCGGGCCTAGGGGCCGAGGGGCCAAGGGGCCGAGGAGCCGAGGGGCCTGGGGTCTAAGGGCCAAGGGGCCAAACACGACGGGAGGGGGGGCCGAGGGGCCTAGGAGTCACGGGGTACCGGGGCCGCTGCTAGGGGCCGAGGGGCCAAACACGAGGGGCCACAGGGCCGAGGGGCCAAGGGGCGAGGGGCCGAGGTGCCTGGTGCCTAGGGGCGAGGGGCCGAGGGGCCAAGGGGCCGAGGGGCCGAGGTGCCTGGGGGCTAAGGGGCCAAGGGGCCAAGGGGCCGAGGGGCCGAAGGGCGACGGGCCGCGGGGCCAGGTACACAGGGGGCCGAGGGGCGAGGGCCGAGGGCGACGGGGGGCCTAGGTCGACGGGGCCGCGGGGCCAGGGGCCTAAGGGGCCGAGGGGCAAGGTCCGAGGGCGACGGGGCCGCGGGGCCAGGGGCCTAAGGGGCCGAGGGGCAAGGGCCGAAGGCGACGGGGGGCCTGGGTCGACGGGGCCGAGGGGCCAGGGGCCTAAGGGGCCAAGGGGCGAGGGCCGAGGGGCCGAGGGCCTAGGTCTAAGGGCCGCGGGGCCAGTGGCCTAAGGGGCCGAGGGGCGAGGGCCGAGGGGCCGGGGGCCTAGGTCGACGGGGCCGCGGGGCCAGGAGCCTTAGGGGCCGAGGGGCAAGGGGCCACGGGGCGATGGGCCTAGGGCGACGGGGCCGAGGGGCCATGGGCGACGGGGCCGCGGGGCCTGGGGCCTAGGTCGACGGGGCCACGGGGCCAGGGGCCTAAGGGGCCGAGGGGCGAGGGCCGAGGGGCCGGGAGCCTAGGTCGACGGGGCCGCGGGGCCAGGGGCCTAAGGGGCCGAGGGGCGATGGTCTACGAGGGTCGACGGGGCCGCGGTCGACGGGGTCGCGGGGCGAGGGCCGAGGGGTCGCGGGGCGACGGGCCTAGGGCGACGAGGCCGAGGGGCCAGGGGCGACGGGGCCGCGGGGCCGAGAGCCTAGGTCGACGGGGCTGCGACGGGCCTAGGGCTAGGGGCGACGCCAAGGGGGCGACGGGCCGAGCTAGGGGTGGCGACGGGCCGGGGCCTAGGGGCGACGGGCGCGAGGCTAGGGGGCGGGGCCTAGGCTAGCAGGGCAGCAGGTGGTGGGCAAAAAAAAACGGTCCTAGGGGACCTGCTCTGAAACCATGTGAGAAATGAGTGAACGAGAATGAATGAACTAGCAAACAGTTGGGTACAAGTACTTGTTGAATAGAAAGTGTAGGGCCTAGGCTTAGTAGCCTAGGCCAAAGGGAATCGAGAGAGTTTAGCCAAAAAGAGGGTGAGTTCACTATTGAGCGAGGTACAAATAGCAAACAAACCACGCAAAGAAGGTGCACCACCAACAAGTTTATAATAACTACACTAACTACAGCTACAGGCAGTTACAGATATATTCTAACACTCCCCCATAACTGCCTGCAGCAGGAGTCTGTGCAGCGACACATCCTGGATGGGTACACCACGAACAGAGAAAACAGTAACAGCAGGCAAGGTAACAAAGCAGGGACAGCAGCAAAGGGACAGGCACTCCTGCCACCCCTTTACTCTCCTCCCCCCCCCCCCCCCACCTCAGAGGGACGGGGGCTGGTTGGTCTCACACCCGCCACCCCAATGCCACTCCCCTGGCTCCCCCACACCCTCACACCCTCCCCCCCAGCGGCAGCTGCAGCAGTGGAAACGAAAGGAGGAGGAGGGGAAGGGAAACACACCACCCTCACCACCCCCAAACCCCAACACAGGGCAGGGCCGTAGCAGGGGCGGCAGCAGGGCAGGGCCGGGACAGGGCCGGGGCAGGACGACAGGGCAGGGCAGGGCCGCGACGAAGACGGGAGGGGCCGACGCGCGGCCCCCCAGGGCGCCGTGACGGGCGACAGAAGGGGCGACGCGCCCCCCCCCCCCCCCAGGTCGCGGCCCCCCGGGTCGCCTCGACAGGCGACGGGAAAAGGCAGGGGGGTGGGGGGGGGTGCGCGGGCCCCCGGTGCGCCCGACAGGCGACGAAACCGCCGCACGCCTCGGGGCGCACGACGGGCAGGGCACCGTCGCGCGCCACCGTCGCGCGCCACGGGGCGCACGACGGGCAGGCAGGCAGGCAGGCAGGCAGGGCACCGTCGCGCGCCACGGGGCACACGACGAGCAGGCAGGGCACCGTCGCGCGCCACGGGGCGCACGACGGGCAGGCAGGGCATCGCGCGTTCAGCAGGGCGGCGCGACGGGCAGAAAACCGCTGCGCGCCCATAGCGCGCGATAGGCAGGACAGCAGCGGAAGACTTGGTGGGCCCGTTAAGGAAGGCAGCAGGAAGGTGCCTGCTCTGAATACCATGTTGAATAGAAAGTGTAGGGCATAGGCTTAGTAGCCTAGGCCAAAGGGAGTCGAGAGAGTTTAGCCAAAAAGAGGGTGAGTTCACTATTGAGCGAGGTACAAATAGCAAACAAACCATGCAAAGAAGGTGCACCACCAACAAGTTTATAATAACTACACTAGCTACAGCTACAGGCAGTTACAGATATATTATAACAGTACTAACCCTAATTGGGTTGTACCCCTTATGGGCTACCCCACTACAGCCTACACAAATGTATAAGCTATAATGTTCTGACATTAGGCACAATGTTGACCGATACAACTGGCATGTCATTCAGCAACGTGGTGACTGTAAATTTATTTTGCCCCTTCAAGGCAATCCTAGTTTGAAACTGCAGAAATATAATGGCATATGTAGGAATTTCAGTGTCCACCGCCTAAAAAAACCAAGCTCTATCGCACAAAACCCATCACACAGTTGGTCATCTGGTGGTGTTGTCAGTGCCAAGCTCCCTTGGTGGTCCTTGCCTTGCCTTCTGGCGTGAACGTTCTGTTACACCACCTGAATAGAAGTCAACTGGACTGATCTGACACATGGCCAGACGTTTTTGGTGCTTAGCGAACCATTACAGCTACAAGCCAGCATAACGCCACACAAGACATGACAATCTGGGTTAGTCATATCTCTTAGTCTCAGTCTCTTTTGTCGTTTATTAACAATCTCCGCCCAATCGCTCTCAGATATCTCGTCTTTTACAACTTCTGGACTGTCGAAATCAACAATATGTGCTAACCAAACTCAGCTGGACTGATGTCGCGTAGCATAATTACACTCCTGCCAGCCACCTGAAACTCAGAACAGATAAGTGATCCCGCCCTCAACTGTTAGCGTAACAGAAGCTCAACAAGTTACAACACAGCCAGTTGAGAAGTCCAAATCTGAGAACGTATGGACCAGTATAGATCGTCAAGTACCAGCATAGAATTCGAGAAACCGGACAGTACCGTATCATGTGTGTAGCTTCACTCATTCATAATATTCTCACTCCCGCCAACATCATCCTAACCGTACAGTACATGCCGTTTATTTGCTAGCACCTTGCTCAACCGTTTTCACCTAGTTGTAAATTTCATCATCACACCAGCCCTTAGCACACACCTACCGAAGCCCTATCTCATCATGTCTTCTTCCAGTACCTCTGCCCCAACTGTCCCTCCCTTCCCTACACCGCATTTCGCGCTGACAACGAGGATTGCTCTTACGCGAAGTCGTTTACGGGGCGAAGCGTAGTGTCTCCATCGGATCCCGACGCTAGCTCCTTGCGATTTTATCGATAGGTTCCTGAATCCGCGCGACTAATAGGCATCGCAGGCGTCGCACTCGTCGCAAACCCTAGAGTTGTCGTCCTAAGCAAAGGGAATCATGGCGTATCGCACACGCGTCGCGATATTGATAGGGATAACTCTTCTCGCCTCCACATTAATACTTATCGCGGACGGAGCGGCAGGCGGCAATGGAAATGGTGGCGGGTCGACGAAAAATACAGGCTCCTCTACCTCTAGCGGGACCACTAGCAGCGGGACCACTAGCAGCGGAACCACTAGCAGCGGAACCACTAGCAGCGGAACCACTAGCAGCGGAACCACCAGCAGCGGAACCACTAGCAGCGGAACCACTAGCAGCGGAACCACTAGCAGCGGAACCACTAGCAGCGGAACCACTAGCAGCGGAACCACTTCTAGCGGGACCGCCTCTACCGGGTCTTCTAGCTCTAGCGGAACCACTACCACTGGTAACGGAAATACTGCTAGTAACGGGAATACCAAGAACAACGGGAACACTGCGGCTACGGGGAATACCGCTAGCAACGGAAACACCCAGAGCAGCGGAAACACTGCGGCTGCCGGAAATACCGCTGGTAGCGGGAACACCGCCAGCAACGGCAACACCCAGAGCAACGGAAACACTGCGGCTGCAGGGAATACTGCTAGTAGCGGGAATACGCAGAACAATGGAAATTCCGCGGCTGCTGGGAATACAGCTAGCAACGGAAACTCTGCCAGTAACGGGAATACCCAGAACAATGGCAACACGGCATCTAGCGGCACTCCCGCATCGCCACCGTCAACGTCAACGTCGGATTTTCTGTCTCTGCCAGTTAACGGTTGCTCTCCGTCAGCTTGCCAGAATCCGTCACTGGGATTCTACAAGGGCACGTTTCAGCAGGCGTCGAAAGCGGATGCCGTTCAGAACATGAACTACGGCGAATACGTACGTTTTGTACAGTTTGATCCTGAGCTGTTGTTGGGTATGCTGTTATCACGTACATACGAGCGTCGAGTATGCAGGTAGCGCGCTGCTGCATTCGAAGCCGTTATCGGGTATGAATGCGAGTGGGGGTGTGAGAGTAGTGGACGGATACCCCTCCTACTCTTCCCTCTCCGCCATCCACTACTCTCACTCTCCCACTTCCGCCTCCTACGGCAAGGCAACCAGCCCCATTGCGCCAGCTGCCATATGCCTACCCACATCCCTCATTCACCCCCCCTCACCTTTTCTCTCCTCCCCTTCTCCGTCTTTCCCTTTCCCTCCCGTTCCCCATCCCACCAGATCTACGGCACGCGAATCAGCTCAGACCTTGCCAAGTCGTCTACTGATGTAAGTCGCTCACGTTTTCATGACTGGCTGCCGAGCCGCGTACCCTTTCGCCTTCCCGTGCAGTCGTTCCCGCCCCCAGCCCTTTCTCCCCCCTCCCATTCCCCCCCTCCCGCCTCCCGTTCCCCTCCCCCACTCTCCCATCCCCCCTCTCCCCCTCCTTCCTCTTTCTGTTACTCTTGTCCTTCACACCCACTCTCCCGTCTGTTTTATTCTTCGCTTTTCGCTCTTCACTCTCTCCCCCTCTGCCTTGCGCTCCCCGCTCTTCGCTCGTCGCTTTTCTGACACCTCCCTCCCCCTCCCTTCTCCCCCCTTCCCCTCTCCCCCCCTTCTCCCCACCCCCTCTTTTTTCCTCCATTGCCCTCCCCTCCCCTCCCCTCCCGTCCCTTTCCCTCCCCACTCTTCCATTCCCCCCCTGTCCCCCCTCCTTCCCCCCATGGCAGGCGAAGACCTTCCCCGACTGCTGCACGGATTGCGCCAACACCGCCGCCTGCCACTATTTCCAGTTCTACACCCCTGAGTAGGTCGCATTCCACCGCATTCCACCGCACTCCACCACTCACCACTGTTCTCCTATGCTTTGCTGCACGGATTGCGCCAACACCGCCGCCTGCCACTACTTCCAGTTCTACACGCCAGAGTAGGTTTCGATACGCACTCCACCGCACTCCATCGCGCTGCCCCGCTCTGCATTGCTCTCCACCGCATTGCACCGCAATCTGCCCCGCTCCCCTTGCTTCGCTGCACGGACTGCGCGAACTCCGCGTCTCTTCTTCCAGAGGCCGCAACCGCATTTTCCCCTTCCCCCTCACTCCCCCTCACTCCCCCTCACCCTCACTACAACCCATCAGCTCCACTTATTTCACCCCTGCTATCCGCAGCACCTGTGCTCCTTTCCTTCGCCCATCATTTCCCCCACTCGCTCGCCCTCCCTCCCCTCCCCCCTGACTCCTCTCTGCCTATCCTTCCCCTACCATCCCCGTTCCATCTATTCCGCCCCTGGCTTACCGAAGCAATGCTTCCTGCTCCCCTCGGCACCTGTGCTCCTTTCCCTCCCTAACCATTCGCTTCTCACTCCCTTCCCCTCCCCCAACCCCCCTTCCTCCTCCCTCCCCCCCCCCTTCAGCTCCATCTCTTCCGCCCCTGGCGGGCAGAAGCAGTGCTTCCTGCTCTCCGAGGCACCGGCTGGCCTGGCGATTAGCGGGCCTCTCAGCTAGTAAGTGCCGCCGCTTACATTTTTGTTCTTTATTTCCTTTTGAATATCAAGTGTAAATTATTTTGTCAGCCCCCCTCCCCACCCCCACTTCCCCCTCCCCTCTTCCCTCTCCCTCTCCCTTCCCCCCACTCTTTTTTTTTTTTTTTTTTTTTTTTTTTTTTTCCCTTTTATTTGCAAATCCATGTATGCTTCCGTGATGCAACCACCTTTGCTGCTACAATTGTGCTGAATGCAAATGATTCTCCTTTACGAAATGCTTGTCGTGTTGTTACCAGTTTTCCTCTTCCTTCAACGCGTTGTCTATCCTCTGCTTACCCTGACCCTCCCTCCCTCTTTCAGCGTTGGCGGGTTCTGCAACCCCCCTGCTTCTGCCACCCAGCAGCAGTCCCCTTCAACCACCTCCTCCGGCTCCTCCTCCTCCACTTCCTCCTCTTCTTCTTCCTCTTCCACCACCACCACTTCTCCCACCGTCTCTGTGACCTCTCCGCCTCCTCCTGGCGTGAAGGGCGATCCGCATTTCGTGGGGTGGGATGGAGTGCATTTCGATTTCACCGGCCAGCCCGGCCACAGCTACTGCATGCTTTCGGATAATAACGTCCACGTCAACATGTACCTCGACGGTTACACGGAAACCAGCGCGAAAGGCGTCAAGGAAACGCACTCGTGGATCAAGGGCCTCGGATTCATCACGCCCAATCATAAGCTCGCGCTTTTCGCGAAAACGAGCGCGAGTCCCGCGCGAAACGGCGGGTATATGAAGCGGATTGTGCTAGACGGCCGGGAGTTTAATCTGACGGAGGGAACCAAGTACGGGACGGCTGACGGGGAAATCGAGATTGAATTTGACGAAGCCGGGAGGAAAGAGGGGGATGAGGAGTCAGACGTGTACACTGTGTCTGTTCGCGATACTTTGAAGATTCTCCTTCGCATGCGTCCGGAAATTGGGGGAGTTCGCCGGCCCGAAGATTCGTTCATCCACTTTTCGATGGAGATTTTAGACGAGCAGCTGTCTACACGCACGCACGGAATTCTCGGCCAAACATTGTACAATCTGAACAATCCCGAAGCGGCTCCGACTGGGTATGACGTGGAGTACAGTGGGGTGGTTTGGGCGTGGCAGGTGGTGGGTGCTGACGCGGAAAATTACATCCAGGGGACTCCTTCGGATTACGTTACGAGCCACCTGTTGACTTCGGATTGCCGTTTCTCTAGGTTCTCTCGGCGGGGTCTGTTCCACTCCGCCCTCTCCCTTGGCTGCTGGCGCAAGGGGTTTGTGTGCTGAGGTGGATTGCTGATTCGTGTTCTGATCTGGCACGACGGCTGGTGCTCTGAAGTGGCATGCCTGTTATGCTGTGTTTGGTGCACTCAGTGACTGGTGAAGAACAAAGTGGGAGGCGGGTAAAGACCTACAAGGGGGGTGTGGGTGGGCAACACACTACAGAACCTCTTCCTCTCCCCTTGTCTTTCAACTATTTGACTACTATGTAGCATCCTGTCAACGAGCAGGTCATCACCGGATAGCCATGGCCATTTGGGTTGGGGATTGCAGGCTGGGGCTTTTACAAGACATTCGTTTTATGCTGCTTGCTTGTACGGTATGAGTAGTAGAGTCCAGCCAATGGGTATGTTCCTGATGCTGGCTTCATGCAATTTGTTGACATTCGTTTATTTGATTGCCGTTGTCACATGCACTAGGTTGTGTGTGCTGGAGGAACAATCGGGTTGTTCAGAGTAGGAAGGGCCTGGTCTCTGGGCTGCTGTGGATGATTCTTTTGACACCTTACCTAATCCTTCTCACAACCCTATGGTTTCCCCTTGGTTGTTAGAGTGAGGATATTGGATAGGATAGGAATGCTTTAGAAGGTTTGGTCGCGGAAGTCTTTTGTTGTAGGAACTCTGATCATAGTGAATGTAGATGACAAAGTTGATTAAAACATAAAATTACACACAATAAATATATCTAACTAACTAGCCATGTACTCTGGGGTCAGCCCCTCATATTCGTTTTTAGCCTGTCTGATTCGTCAGACTCTCCCAAAGTTGTACGGTAGTCTGAATCTGACAGAGTTGCAACAAAAAAAAGGCTGATAGTTCAGAGTTCCCTAAAATAAAAGTCTGAAAGATTCAGAATCACCGCCTATCAAGTCTGATTGTCTTTCTAGCTGTCTTGCTGAACTGATCGTCTTGTTTGAACTACGTAACGTACATTGCAAAAGCCTACATACAAAATGCTACTTTTCTTTGATTAGCCAGAGCTAGAACTACCCTATTCATGTATCCTAGCACTACAACATCCTACTAATCCTCCTCTCCTAGACTCCTACTCATTAAATCCATCATCATCATCAGAGTCAACTGCATCCTGCTCATCTTCTAGGTCAACTACATCCATCTCTTCATCTGCCTCCCTGGCCTTCTTGTTGTGTTGCTTTCCTGCAGGCGGGAGTGGAGCGTTGCTCTGGGGCTTGCGCTTCTTGTAACTCCTCCAGACTGTCACAATCTCATCCCAGTCGGGGGCGTAATCCATCAAGCTCATGCACATAAGGTCCCCCAGGCGAGCATCCTTGAGCGCGCCCCTCTTCCACGACTTAATGATGTTTTGGTGGGAGAACCCCCGCTCGCACTCCACGGTGCTCAGCGGCAGTACAGCAACCGCCACCCACAGGAGCACCAAGTTGGGGTAGTTCTCCCGCCAGTCGGGAGTCTTGAGCATGGCAGTGAGACCCGCGTGAAAACTGCGCTCGCCCTTGGTAGATGCTGCAAGCACCGAAGCGAACATGCGCAGCTCCCTCTTTGCGCGGCGCTTGTCAATTCCTGACGGGATAGGAAGTAAAACAGGAGGAGCAAGCTCAGAACCCAAATTCAAACATTCATTGAAGCGACATGCAATACAAACGATGCATCGGGGTAGCCTGATATTAAAACCAAGCTGCTTAATGGCTTACCTGGCAGGATCTCATCCGTCAGGCCGGCCTTGAACAGCGTGACAAGCGACTGAAGCCACTCGAGGCACCTGCGGTTCCTCTCTCCACGCTCCAGCGGATACTCGTCGGGGGTGAAGAGCCTAGCGCCGGACATCCCGTTCAGGTCGCCAAGCCGGTGCTCCAGTTGGTGCACGATCACCTCGGCAAACCCTGTGCAAACCCCCACACAGCCATCGTGGGTGCCGGGCCCTTCAAACTCCTCCAGCTCGTCCTCGTGCAGCACGAATTTGAAGCGTGCTGGTCGGCCGTCCGAATCAACCCCTTCAACCTTCACCTCCTGATTTCCTCCAGGCCCATGGCGCGCGATGAAGGGGGACAGCAGCTCGCTGACGCCGCCTCCGAAGTCGTCTCCGCAGTCGACGTAGCGGCTCTCGATGTGGGATGTTGTACGCTTGATCTGCGCATGCACGCTGGCATAATCAAGCTGGAAAAAAACACGTGGACAGGTGGTTAGTGACTAAGGTTAGAAGAAACGAAGCTGGCATTAGCACAAAGACTTAACAACTAGTAACAAGAAACCAGAGCTTACCTCCTTGTGCTGGAATGCCCTGTTGAGTATGTTCAGCTGCTCAAGCACATCTGCAATGAAAAACAGGAGGAAATGAAACCTGTAGCTCGTCACCAGCGCATAGAGCGTCGCGTCCCACTCCTTCAACATCACGATGAGAGCCGGAAGGACGGCGACGAGCCTGAGCATTGCGTCGCCCCGCGAAAGCCAACGGACTGCATGGATCCCTTGCAGCTCCAGTGAGGTGGAGGTGAAGACTTCCTGCAGCCCCATGAACCGCTGATGCCATGGTCCACTTCGACCGAGATGCTCAGCCACGGTGCGGATCACCGTGTCAATGACGTTGAAGGCGGGAATCTTCTCTGCGGCTGTTTTAGCCGCCAGTGCCTCCCTGTAAAAACAAAAAAGGGAAACATTAGTCACATGTAGCCGTTAAAGAACTTCAAAAAACCCTATGCACCTACAGGTTTACCTGTGCGCGATGCAGTGGGATGACACCAAATGGGGAATGCGCACGCGGAGGCGTGTCGTGAGGCCGCCCTTGCAGCCCATCATGACGTTCGCGCCGTCGGTGCTGATGCCTGCAATGCGCTGCAGGTCGACCCCGACTGCCAGCAGGTGTGATAGCAGAACGCCCAGAAGAGAAGCGGCGTCGGCCTTCTCCACGGTGAGAAGCGCCATGAACTCCGTGACGACCTTGAAGTCACGGACGAAGGTGATGAACAGGATCAAGTGCTTCCCGCTGCACCTATCCGTGCTCTCGTCAATCGAGATGCCGACGAAGGGCGACGACAGCACATGTTGCAGCTGGGTTGTCTGGAGCCATGTAGCTGTAGCTTGCGTCAGCTCTCCGAAGCCGTATCTGCACATGGAACCAATAGTCAGTAACAATTTAGTTAGAACATTATTAAAACGTGGGTGTTTATAAAGAGGCGTACGGCAGTTGCACTCACGTGGTGTAGTAGGTGCCGTACCCAGGGCTGATTTTTTCAGGGTAATTACCCTGATTTCAGGGTGATTTCAGGGTGCTTTAGCGGACCCTGAAATTTTGTGTACACTCTCAGTGTAGGGTTTTCACGGACCCTGTCAATACAGAGTACGAGGCCTGTGGACCCTGAATGCGATGTTATCGGGGCGAAGTTTCTCGGAAATTTCCTCCTGATAACCCCTTCGCATTGATTTCAGTGCCCCCCACGTGCGTAATCCTCCCCCCCCCCCCCCCCCCCCCTCCCCTCGCTTTATCGAGACGAAGTTTCTTCGAAGTTTCGTTCCCATACACCCACCATCTAGATCGGGCGAATCTGTAATGTCAGATTTTAGGTTGCTGTTATTGGTCGAAATAGACTGTCAGATTTCGAGCACATGTTGCGATTAGGGTAAAGAATGAGACTTCTGATTGAGTGAGACGTTTGTCCACGGTAAAAAAAGAGCGCGTTACTACGACCCTGATTTTCAATTCCCGACCCTGAACAATTAGAGTTCACTACTTCTCAACCCTGAGCAATCAGGGTGCTGTTTTTCTGGAAAATGTGCCTTCAGGGTAAAGTTTTTTTTTTTTTAGGTTGAAATCAGGGTACCTAAATTTGAAAAGTCAGCCCTGGCCGTACCCTCTCTTAGGGAAGCCTTGCACGCCCTTCTCCGACAAGTACCGCACCAGTTTCACCCACATCCCCATGGGCGCGTCAGACCTGCTGATGAACAGCAGCGAGTCCAGAAGGGCGACGGTCCGCATCTTCTCACTGTCCACCGCGGCGCGATGTTGGTCGATCTGTGGCTGCCGTCCACTGCACTCCTCTTCAGATTTATGTCTCTCAACCGCCAGCTTGTGCTTCGTCGTGCCAGCGTGTTTACGGAAAGACTGTGTCTGCAGGTCGGTGGCGCCTCTCCCGCACCTCCCGCACTTTCCTGCATCGCCAGCAAAGGCTGCACAAACGGTACACTTGAACGCAGGCAAGCCGGTAGTGGTTTTAGTGATTCTGAGCCACGGAAAACGGGTAGACCAATGATTTTTGAACTTGTCAATCGCTTCGTCGTAAACTCCCTCGATGAGCTCGGCCAGATTGATGTTGAGGCGAGGTCGCGGTCGGTCAGATGTTCCGGGAGCGTTGTTGACGTTGGCAGTTGACGACGCAGGTTTGCCGAAGGTCAAGGTCGCCTGCTTGAGACGGGTCGTGCGCGCCGTGGTCTGAGTCGGAATCTGCGACTGTGAATCAACGGTTGGTTCCGCAGATGTCTCTGCCACATGGTCGGCAGAAAGTGAGATAACTGGAGCCGCGGGTGCTTTCTGTATGGGAATCGTATCGGGCGTGGCGCGTACAGCTTTATCGAGATCTAGTGTACTAAGAAAGAAGTCCAAGTCTGTTAAGGTAGGCCGCTCATCAGGGTCGTCGTCGCCTGTGGCGGGATTGTCCAGCACCGCCATGGCGGGGCTGTGAAAGAGCCTGCCGAGCAGGAACTAGAGAGATGATGGCTGAGGCAAAACTGGGCACTGGCTTGGGCCCGTGAGTTGTAGCTGAGGGGTGTGGATGAAACCCTAGCACAAACACGAAGGCCCTTTACCAAGATGGGCCATCATTCAGTTGTGTGGGTGGTTGCCTACCATGCACGGCAACGACGAGGCGCATCGTTGGAGTGTGTGGTGTGGATGTTGCAGCATCGTGGTACACGATGCTGCCTAAAGGACCGTCTGCTTGCCATCACGTTTACGTGGGTGGCAACTGCTGCAGCATCTTACACCGAGGGAAAGAACGCGCCGCAGGGCGGGTGAAACATCCAGCTGTACGAGGGAAACATCGGGCCGCAGGGCGGCGGTACAGGTACAATGTATGTACCACAGCTAATCCTGGGTGTCGGCGCGCAGGTAGATTCATTCAGAGTCGGAACTCGTTTGTACTCTGAATTCATCAGAGTACACTCTCGGAAAACTCTGAAACGTCAGAGTCAGCCTAGAGAAAAATCTGATTTTCACTGAGTTGAGACAATAAAAACTCTGAATTTTACAGAGTACACCCTAAAAAAAATCTGAAATCTCAGACTAAAACAAGCAAATCAGACAAAAAAGTCTTACTTCTGGGGGCCTGTCTGGGGTGTACATTCCTTTATTCTAACTGCTTTACAAGCATTTCTACACTGACTATGACTATTGCACTTCGTCTTGTTACCGAGTCGCTGCGTGCAACCGTACGCACGGTTACGCCTATTGCAATTCCTCGATGGTCAATCATCGGTCCAGATGATCAACAGTCGCGATAGTTGACTCTTGCGACTGTTGACCTTCCTGCCCTTGATACGGGCTGATCCGATACTACTGCTAGCGCTGCTTCGATAATGACAGGTGCGATACTGCTGCGCCTACGGGATGTCAAACTGTTATAATGTTTATATTGTGTAGGCTCTAGTGGGGTAGCCCATAAGGGGTACAACCCAATTAGGGTTATTACTTGTACTCAGTTTCTTGTCAATGCATTCATTCTCGTTCAGTATTCTGATATGGTATCAGAGCGAAGCTCTCGGGTTCGAATCCCAGTGTGTGCACTTCGGGCATCCCAGTGCGGGGGGTGTCAGAGGTCCACTGGTGATTCCCGGTTGATCCTAGGGAAGGGTTACATGCTCGTTGTCTTGGGGGGTTATGGGCGCACTGACCCGCTACTTAACAAGCCCTTTTATCCCAGTGGTATAGTGACTGAGATTCTGACATGGTCTCTGAGCGGGTCCTGTTCCAGGACCGTTTTTTAGGGCCCACCGAATAGTTCCCTGCCCGTAGCACGTTACCCTGCTCGTAGCGCCCTACCCTGCCCGTCGCGCTGCCCCACCAGTCGCGCTGCCCTGCCCTGCCCGTCGCGCCGCCCTGCTGGCCGCGCGCCACCCTGCTAACTGCCGCGCCGCCCTGCTAGCCGCGCGCCTATCAGAAACTAGACGAGGGAATGATTGCATTGAAAAGAAAGTTGGTACAAGTACTAACCCTAATTGGGTTGTACCCCTTATGGGCTACCCCACTACACCCTACACAATATAAACATTATAACAGTTTGACACACCCCCATAGGCAAAGTAGGGGAGAACAGGAGGTCACAAGACCAGTCAAGAAAAACAAAAGCAAGCTCAGGGTGGATCATAAAGTCACCACAGATTCTGAGCACAAGCAAATGGCCACAAGGCCAGTTCACATGCAGAATTATATAAACGAGAACAAAAAATACAGTGATAATAACCTAGCAGAGGTAAGCATGAAGGTATATGTATATGGATCACAGTACAAGCAAAGTCACGAAGTGAGCAAGTGAGGCCAAGTAGGCACAAGGCCTAAAACAGTACAGAAATGCTGATCATCACCAGGCTGAAGTGCCTTGGTGAATATATCAGCAGTGTTGGCCCGAATGGCCATATAAGCAAGACGAAGCTGACCACACTTCTGCAACTCTCGAGCAAGGAAGTAACGCAGAGCGATGTGCTTCGTCCTGTGCTCCAGTTTGTGCTCCTGACACAAGGCAATCATGGCCTTGTTGTCAACGTACAGAACTGGAGGAGAACGAGGCCGCTCTCCCAAGTCGGCCAGCAGGTAGGTGAGCCAGCGTAACTCTTGTGCAGCCATGGCCCCTGCGTAGATCTTAGCCTCACAACTGGAACTGAGAACAGAAGACGAGCGGGTAGACCGCCAAGAAACAGAGCCGGAGCCAAGGCTGAAAGTGTCGTCAAAATGTTATAATGCTTACATTGTGTAGGCTATAGTGGGGTAGCCCATAAGGGGTACAACCCAATTAGGGATAGTACTTGTACCAACTTTCTGTTTCAATGCATCCATTCTCGTTCAGTATTCTGACACAGTATCAGAGCAGGTCCTGTTCCCGGACCGAATTTTTTTAGGGCCCACCACATAGCGTTGCCCCACTAGTCACGTCGCCCAGCCCTGTCTGTCGCGTCGCCCTGCTGGCTGTCGCGTCGCCCTGCTTGCTCTTGCGTTGCCCTGCCCTGTCAGACGCGTCGCCCTGCTGGCCGTCGCGTCGCCCTGCTGCCTGCGCACCGCATTGCTGCCTGCGCCTCGCCCTGCCCTGCCCGCGCTTAGCCGCCCTGCCCTGCCCGCGCTTAGCCGCCCTGCTGCCCGCACCGCCCTACTGCTTGCGCCGCCCGGCTCCTGCCCGCCCTGCTGCGTGCAGCCCTGCTGGTCGGCGCCCTGCTGCCCGCGCGCCGCTCTGCTGGCAGCCGCACCGCTGCCCACACCGCCCTACCCGCGCCGCCCTGCTGCTGCCCGCCTCGCTGTGCGCCGCCCTGCAGGCCGACGCCCTGCTGCCCGCGCGCCGCCCTGCTGGCAGCCGCACCGCTCTGCCCTTGCACCGCCCTTCCCTGGCCGCGTGCCGCTCTTCCCTAGCCGTGCGCCGCCTCGCCCTGCCCTGCGCGCTTCCCTAGTGCCCGCGCGCCGCCCTGCCTGCGTGCTGCCCTGCTGGTCGCGCGGCACCCTGCTCTGCCCGCTATGGCTTCTCTCACTGTTCTCACCTTCGATCATGAGGATCGTTCGATCCAGTTTGATATGTGGCTAGACGACTTACAGCTGTTCCTACTGAGCGATTCTAGAGACAGCGTTTCGTTGTTTGACCACACGTCTGGAGCCTTTCTCGCCCCTCCCGCCACAGCTGACAGTGCGAATCGCTCACAGTGGCTTAACCGTGACGCTGCTGCTCGCTTAGCCATTCGCAACCACCTGCCGTTAGCCGAGCGCGCTCATTTTGGCCAGCACAAGACTGCTAAATCCCTGTACGCCGCTGTAGTCGCTCGTTACTCTTCCCCTGCCACTGCTGCTCTCGGCCGCCTTATACTGACCTACCTGTTTCCCGAGCTGTCAACCTTTGCCATAGTCGAGGACCTCGTTACCCACCTTTGCACTAGCGACTCTCGCTACCGCGCTGCCCTCAAAGCCGAGTTCCTAGACAGGAACCCGCCCCCGATGTACATCACTCTCTACTGCATAGTCATCCGCCTCCCTGACTCTCTTCGCGCTGTCAGGGGCCACTTTCTTGCACTTGACCCCACAGACCTCACTGTCGACCTGCTCGAGAAGCACCTCCTTGCAGCTGAGACTAGCGTAGTAGCTGTAGGTGCTGCTGGTGGCACTCATCGCACACCCTTCTTTGAGGGGTGTTCCCCCTCCCCCGTTGCCCCCTCCTACACTTCTGCTGCTGCTGTTGACATCCTTGGTGCTGAGGATGTCGGGGCTGCTTTTGCTCTAAGTGGGAAGCGCTGCAGCAGCAAGGGCAAGGGTGGCAAGAGTGGTGGCGGTGGCAGTGGGGGTGGTGGTGGTGGAGGCAGTGGAGGCGGTGGAGGTGGCGGAGGTCGTGGCGGCGGTGAGAGTGGTGGCGGGAGTGGGAGCTTCGGTGGCGGGAGTGGGGGCTTCGGTGGCGGTGGTGGTGGCAGCGGTGGGGGTGGGGTTGGCGGTGGTGGCGGCAGTGGGAGTGGTGGCGGCAGCAGCGGGAGTGGTGGTGGTGGCGACATTGGAGGCGGTGGAGGTGGCGGAGGTGGTGGCAGCGGTGGGAGTGGTGGCAGGAGTGGGGTCTTCGGTGGCGGTGGTGGTTGCAGCGGTGGGGGTGGCGGTAGTGGCGGCAGAGGGAGTGGTGGCAGTCGGGGTGGAGCTGTTCAGAGGGGAGGTTTTGGCGGTGGCCAGACACAGCAGCAACATCGTCGGAGCAAGACCCCTACGCCCCAGCAGCTTCGTGAGTGGTTTGCTCAGTGTGGGGCATCTGGGGGTAGTGTTCGCTGCCCGTATGTCATTCGCACATGTGACCACGCTGGTCAGACATGCGGGAAGTTTCACACTCAGCACCGCTGCTTCTCCCGCCTTGACGACGCTAGGCACGCAGAGTTTGGAGACGAGGCTGAGTGCCCCCGCCGGCCAGAGCTGCTTAGGTCTTGAGTTGATATCTTTGCTCTTGACTATGATGCTATCCTTGCTGCCATGTGTGCCTTGTCTGTTAGTGCTGAGGGTGACTGTTACTTGTGTGTGCCGCCTGACCCAGGTATAGAGGCTACTGCTCTAGGTGCTAGTGAGTCTTCTCTCCCTGGTACTACGCTTGTTGAGGCCTTGCACACCTTTACACTTGACTCAGGTGCTTCCCGCTGTTTCTTTCGCGACGGTACCATCATCACTCCACTCCCTGCACATGATCAAGCCAGACTGGCTAACCCCTCAGGGGGGCCAGTTCTTGCCCGTTCCTCCACTGTTCTCCCGTGTTCGGCGGTTCTGTCTGGCTCACTGTCAGGTCTTCACCTCCCCTCGTTCTCTACAAACTTGGTGAGTACTGCTGCCCTCCAGGATGCGATGGTCACTACCACCACTCCTGGTGGTCAGCGTGTGTCGATCAGCACGTCTACATGGACGGGCCGTCACCTGGCCAAGTTCACTCGTCGGCCTGGGTCGAGTCTGTACACACTGACTACTGAGCCTCGTGAGGTAGCTGCGTCTGCTCATGTGTCCGCGTCAGGTCCGGTAGCAGCCCCTGCTCGTGTCGCCTCCTAGACTCTCCTGTGGCACCACCACCTTGGTCACCCCTCCCTGCCACGCCTTCGTGGCATGCACTCCCGCCTCCTTGTTTATGGTCTTCCCAGGTCTCTGCCTCCCCTCCCGCCCTCGCGTGCTCCGCCCTGCCTTCCTTGTGTCGAAGGGCGGCAGCGCACCGCTCCTCACTCCTCGTTTCCCCCGACGTCTGCTCCCCTGCAGACTCTCCACATGGACGTGTGGAGCCCAGCCCGCGTCAGTGGACAGGGCCGCGAGCGCTACTTTCTGCTGGTTGTTGACAACTCCACGCACTACACCACGGTCTTCCCCTTGCGCAGCAAGGGTGACGTCCCTGATGTCTTGATCCCTTGGATCCGCGCAGTCCGTCTCCAGCTCCGCGAGCGGTTCCGCGAGGACCTTCCTGTCCTGCGTCTGCACTCTGACAGAGGTGGTGAGTTCTCCTCCGAACTCTTGCGGGAATTTTGTCGTGGGGAGGGCATCCTCCAGTCGTTCACGCTTCCGGGCTCCCCGCAGCAAAATGGGGTTGCTGAGCGCCGCATTGGCTTAGTCATGGAGGTGGCTCGTACCTCCATGATCCATGCGGCTGCTCCCCATTTTCAGTGGTCGTTTGCGGTCCGGTACGCTGCGCATCAGCTCAACCTCTGGCCCCGTGTCTCCTTGCCGGAGACCTCGCCTACACTGCGTTGGACGGGGAAGGTTGGCGATGCGTCGGTGTTCCGGGTTTGGGGCTCTCGTGCCTTTGTCCGCGATACTTCCGCGGACAAGCTTGTGAGAATCGAGAATGAAAAGAGTGAGAATGATTGCACTAGAAAGCATTGGGATACATATAGAAAACCCTAACAGGGTTGTACTCACTACAGAGTACCCCACTGCAGACTAGAGAAACATAATATTCTGACACACCCCCATAGTCAAAGTGGGGTATGATCAGCACAACAAGCAAAGCAAAGCAAGCTCAGGGTGGATCACAATGTCACCACACATTCTGAGCACAAGTACAAGAAGTAACAGTTTAAAGTTCACAATAAATAAGCAAAGCTAGAGGCTATCACAGAGGGCAAGTGAGGAGGAGGCTGGACTAATAGGAGAGGAGAGAGGAGGCAACGGCGGAAGCTGCAGACACACGGGCAACAGGAGCGGCGCGCACTGTGGCTACCGGAGGCGCACCTCCGGACTACAGGAGTAACTGGCTCCGCGGCTAAGACGAGCGGCAGGAGCAACGGACCCACGGGCGACTGGCGCAGCGGCATCACTGGGCTACCGGAAGCGCACCTCCGGACTACTGGCACTGCTAGCAACACGACGGCTACCTCCACCCAACCTCCCTCTACTGCCGCACCCCCCATTCACACACCCCCTGCTGCACCCCTAGGTTCACTCACACCCCACCCCCTAGCACCACTCCGTCGACTCACACACACCCACCCCCCTCAGCGGCAGCTGCAGCAGTGGGAGACGGAGTAGGAGGAGGAGCAGGGGGTGTCACAAACCCGCCACCCCCATACCCTCCCCCACTGCTGCACTTGCAGCAGGTGATGGAGGAGAAGGGGGGGGTGCTGTGCATGGCGCGTGCAGAGGGCAGCAGGGCGCACGGGGCGCACAGGGCAGCAGGGCAGCAGGGCGCGCGGGGCGCACAGGGCTGCAGGGCGCGCGGGGCGCACAGGGCAGCAGGGCAGCAGGGCGCACGGGGCGCACAGGGCAGCAGGGTGCGCGGGGCGCAGCAGGGCTGGCGGGTTGGCCACACCCGCCACCCCCATACCCTCCCCCACTGCTGCACCCGCAGCAGAGAGATGGGGGGGGGGGGGGTCCCCTCCCCCCACTGCCGCATCCGCACCAGGGGGGTGGCAGATCCCCTCCCCCCCACTGCTGCACCCGCAGCAGGGGGAGGGAGAGGAGAAAAGGGTGGAGAGGAGGGGGGGGGGGGGGGGGGGGGGGGGCTGGTGCTGCATGTCCCCTCCCCCCACTGCCGCATCCGCACCAGGGGGATGGCAGATCCCCTCCCCCCACTGCTGCACCCGCAGCAGGGGGAGGGAGAGGAGAAAAGGGCGGAGAGGAGGGGGGGGGGGGGAGGGGGGGGGGGGGGTTGGTGCTGCAGGTCCCCTCCCCGCACTGCCGCAACCGCAGCAGGGGGATGGCAAATCCCCTCCCCCCCACTGCTGTACCCGTAGCAGGGCGCGCGGGGCGCACAGGGCTGCAGGGCGCGCGGGGCGCACAGGGCAGCACAAGGAGGCGGCGGCACCGGGTCCAGGGGCGGCGGCGCGGGGTCCAGGGGCGGCTGCTCCAGGGGCCAGGGGCCAGGGGCGGCTGCTGAGGTCCAGGAGCGGCTGCACCAGAGGCGGCTGCTCCAGGGGCGGCTGCACCAGGGGCGGCTGCTCCAGGGGCGGCTGCACCAGGGGCGGCTGCACCAGGGGCGGCTGCTCCAGGGGCTGCTGCACCAGGGGCGGCTGCTCCAGGGGCGGCTGCACCAGGGGCGGCTGCACCAGGGGCGGCTGCTCCAGGGGCGGCTGCACCAGGGGCGGCTGCTCCAGGGGCCAGGGGCGGCTGCTCCGGGTCCAGGGGCGGCTGCTCCAGGGGCCAGGGGCGGCTGCCGAGGTCCAGGGGCGGCTGCACCAGGGGCGGCTGCTCCAGGGGCCAGGGGCTGCTGCTCCGGGTCCAGGGGCGGCTGCTCCAGGGGCGGCTGCTCCGGGTCCAGGGGCGGCTGCTCCAGGGGCGGCTGCACCAGGGGCGGCTGCTCCGACGCGCGGCCCCCCCCTCCAGGTCGCCCCTCCCGTCGCCTGTTGAGGCGACCTGAGGGGGGGGGGGGGGGGGGGGGAGGGGGGGGGAGGAGTACGGGGGGCCGACGCGCGGCCTCCCAGGGCGCCAGAGCAGGCGGAAGAAGGGTCGACGCGCGCCCCCCCAGGTCGCCGCGCCCCCCCCCCCCCCGGGTCGCCACGTAAGGCGACGGGAAAAGGGGGGGGGGGGGGCGGTGCACGGGCCCCTGGTGCGCCACGACCGGCATGAGGGGGGCGGGGCCTGGGCAGGGTCGGGGCATGGCAGGGGCAGGGCCGCGATAGGGCCGCGACAGGGTCGGGGCAGGGCCGTGACAGGCTCGGGACAGGGGCGGCGCCGGGCGACGGGGCCTGTACGGGGGGGGGCCGCGACGGGGGCCTGCGACAGGGGGCCGCGACGGTGGGCCGCGACGAGGGGCAGGGCCGGGGTCGGGGCAGGTCCGGGACGAGGCCGCGACAGGGTCGGGGCAGGGCCGTGACAGGCTCGGGACAGGGGCGGCGCCGGGCGACGGGGCCTGTACGGGGGGGGGGGGGGGGGGCGACGAGGGGCCGCTACAGGGTCGGGGCAGGGCCGGGGTCGGGGCAGGTCCGGGACAGGCCGCGAAGGGGCCGCGACGGGCCTAACGGGCCGCGAAGGGGCCGCTGCAGGTCGTAAAGGGGGCCGCGAAGGGGCCGAACTGGCCGCGAAGGGGCCGCGACGGGGGTCGTTAAGGGTCGTAAAGGGGGCCGCGAAGGGGCCTAACTGGCCGCGAAGGGGCCGCGACGGAGGCCTAACGGGCCGCGAAAGGGGCCGCGACGGGCCTAACGGGCCGCGAAGGGGGCCTAACGGGCCGCGAAGGGGCCTAACGGGCCGCGAAGGGGGGCCGCTACGGGCCGCAAGGGGGCCTCTACGGGCCGCAAGGGGGCCACTAAGGGCCGCAAGGGGGCCACTACGGGCCGTGCAAGGGGCCTAACGGGCCGCGAAGGGGTCTTACGGGGCCTTACGGGGCCGGAAAAGGGGGGGCCTTACGGGGCCGGCGCTGGCTCTAAGGGCAGGCGCAGGGGCCGCGGCGGGCCTCGAAGGGAAGGCGCGACGCGCGCGTCGAGCAGGCAGTGAAAATTTCAGTGGTGGGCCCTTAGGAAGGATCGATATATGCTCTATACCATGTGAGAATCGAGAATGAAAAGAGTGAGAATGATTGCACTAGAAAGCATTGGGATACATATAGAAAACCCTAACAGGGTTGTACTCACTACAGAGTACCCCACTGCAGACTAGAGAAACATAATATTCTGACAAAGCTCTTCTCCTGCGCCATTCCCAGCGTCTTCCTTGGCTTTCCCCCTGACGAGCCTGGCTGGCAATTTTACCACCCCACCTCGCGCCGTGTCCTGCCCTATCAGGACGTCACGTTTGACGAGTCGCTTCCCTTTTACCGTGTCTTCCCCTATCGCACTGCCCCTCTCCCCCCCTCGCCGCTCTTCCTCGCTCCAGGTCCCCCTCCGATAGACCCCCTCCCCCCTCAGGGTCCTGCTCCCTCAAGTGTGTCTCAGGTAGATGCACTCCCCCTGGCTGGAGATGGTGATGCTAGGGAGGCTACGTCTGGGGGTGCTGAGCCTGCGGATGCGGAGCCTGGGGGTGCTGAGCCTGCGAGTGCTGAGGCTAGGGGTACTGATTCTTCCGGAGGTCCTGCAGGTGCCTCGCCACGATAGTCTCATCGGCGGGACTCTCTCACCGCGGCAGCTGCGCGAGTGGTTTACTCGGCACACACACCTTAGGAGCTGGAGGCCATGCCGCTAAAGGCACTGGAGATGGAGGTGCTGGAGCTACTAGTCCTTGAGGTGCTGGAGTTACTTCTTGAGCTGGAGGTACCGGAGATGCTGGAGCTGCTGGTCCTGGAGGTGCTTGTACTAAAGGTACTGGAGCTGCCGGAGCTGGTGGTGTAGGAGGCGCTAGAGCTGGAGACCCTAGAGCTGGAGGCACTAGAGTTGGAGGCGCTGGAGCTGGAGACCCTGAAGCTGGAGGCGCTGGCGCTGGAGGCGCTGGAGCTAGAGGAGCTGGAGCTGGAGACCCTGGAGCTGGAGGCACTGGAGCTGGAAGTGCTGGAGCTGGAGACCTTGGAGCTGGAGGCAGTGGAGCTGGAGACCCTGGAGCTGGAGGCGCTGGCGCTAGAGGCGCTGGCGCTGGAGGCGCTGGAGCTGGAGGAGCTGGAGCTGGAGGCACTGGAGCTGGAGGCACTGGAGCTGGAGGCGCTGGAGCTGGAGGCACTGGAGCTGGAGGCGCTGGAGGTGGAGGCGCTGGAGCTGGAGACACTGGAGCTGGAGGTGCTGGCGCTGGGGGTGCTGGAGCTGGCGGTACTGGTGCTGGAGGCACTGTGCAGCGGCGACCGTTTTTCGTTCCACCGCCGCCGTCGTCTCTGCCGCCACCTGGCTCGGTCCTTCGCCAGGTTCTTAGTCTCCCGTCTTCTACTGGCCTTACTCCTCGCTTACTGTGTCCACCGCCTCACCATTCGCAGCCACAGTTACAGCCAGACTCCCCTCTGCCTGCTCCTTCTCCTTACGCTGAGAAGACAAACTCTATTACGGAGTGTCGTGAGCCTGAGTCTCGTCCTGCCTCGCCTGTTCGCGCTGTTCGCACTGGTCGTCGTGTTCTTCGTCCGCGTCCTCCTCCTGTCCCCGGCACTCACATTATGGCTCTTCATCTTTCCTCTGTTCCACGGCGAGCTCCCCTGCCGCCTCCTCCTGCGTCTTCTCTTGCTGACGGTCCGGAACCTAAGTTTGACTTAGTTCGTGCTACCAGTCCTACTGTCACACTTCTTCTAGCCACTGTTGTCACTGACCCTTCGTTTGAGTCCACTGCTGCGTTTGCCCTAGTTGCTGAGCTTATTGACTTTGCTGCCGCTTGTCGTCTCGACTACGGCACTAGTCTTAATGCTGAGTCTGAGTCTGACTGTCCTCCGTCCGTCGGGGGTGAGTGTGCTCTTGGCACGGACGTCCTTGAGGACAGGCAGGAGGACTTTGAGTGTCTTGCAGCTGCTGTACCTCATCTCGTGGCCATGCTGCTTGCATCTGAGGGAGACCCGGATGCACCAGACATCCCGACCCCGCGCTCTTACGCAGAGGCGATTACGGGTCCTTACTCCTCTCAGTGGCAGACAGCCATGGACGCAGAGATGGCATTCTGGAAATCCACAGGCACCTACGTCGACACAGTTCCCCCTCCTGGGGCGAACATAGTCGATGGCATGTGGATTTTCAGGGTGAAGCGGCCGCCGGGTTCTACGCCTGTCTTCAAGGCTCGTTACGTTGCACGAGGCTTCAGTCAGCGACAGGGAGTTGACTTCTTCCAGACCTTCTCCTCTACCCCGAAGATGACCACTCTTTGGGTGCTGCTGCACGTCGCCGCTCAGCGTGACTACGAGCTTCACTCTCTTGACTTCAGCACAGCTTTCTTATAGGGCAGCCTGCACGAGGAGATCTGGCTGCGCCGCCCACCTAGCTTCACTGGGTCGTTTCCTGCAGGTACCCAATGGAGCCTCTGGAGGCCAGTCTACGGTCTCCGCCAAGCGCCTTGCGAGTGGAACGACACACTGAGGATGACGCTTGCGGATCTTGGGTTTGCTCCTTCGACTTCTGACCCGTCGCTGTTTTTGCGCACCGACACTTCGCTATCGCCGTTCTACATCCTCGTGTACATCGACGACCTGGTTTTTGCCACTGAGACACTGAGGCACTGGCCCTTGTGAAGTCGGAGCTGCAGAAGAGACACACCTGCACTGACCTGGGTGAGCTGCGCAACTATCTTGGCTTGCCGATCACCCGGGACAGAGCACGGCACACCATCACCCTGACTCTGTCACACATGGTGCACCAGGTCCTTCAGCGCTTTGGCTTCCGGTACTGCTCGCCAGAGTCCACTCCTCTGCCTACCCGGTCACTCGCTCTCAGCTCCACCTTCGGACGAGTCTGTAGAGCCGAGTGGCCCGTATCCAGAGCTTGTGGGCTGCCTCATGTATCCAATGACCTGCACTCGACCTGACCTTGCCTACCCTCTTAGCATCCTGGCACGCTACGTTGCATCCGGGACTCACTGACCAGAGCACTGGGAGGCCACTAAGAGGGTGTTGCGCTACTTGTGCAGTACATCAGGCATGGGGCTCGTGCTTGGAGGACGGGGTCTAGTTGTCCTTACTGGACACGCAGACGCGTCTTTGGTTGATGACTTGGCTACGCAGCGGTCGTCACAGGGTTACACTTTCAGCCTTGGCTACGGCTCTGTTTCTTGGCGGTCTACCCGCTCGTCTTCTGTTCTCAGTTCCAGTTGTGAGGCTGAGATCTATGCAGGGGCCATGGCTGCACACGAGTTACGCTGGCTCACCTACCTGCTGACCGACTTGGAAGAGCGGCCTCGTTCTCCTCCAGTTCTGTGCGTAGACAACAAGGCCATGATTTCCTTGTGTCAGGAGCACAGACTGGAGCACAGGACGAAGCACATCGCTCTGCGTTACTTCCTTGCTCGAGAGTTGCAGAAGTGTGGTCAGCTTCGTGTTGCTTACGTGGCCACTTGGGCCAACACTGCTGATATATTCACCAAGGCACTTAAGCTTGGTGATCATCAGCGTTTCTGTACTGTTTTAGGCCTTGTTCCTACTTTGCCTCACTTGCTCATTGCATGACTTTGCTTGTACTGTGATCTATATACATATACATGCATGCTTGCCCCTGCTAGCTTATGATCACTGTACTGTTTGTTCTCGTTTATATAATTCTGCATGTGAACTGGCCTTGTGGCCATTTGCTTGTGCTCAGAATCTGTGGTGACTTTGTGATCCACCCTGAGCTGGCTTTGCTTTTTCTTGACTGGTCTTGTGACCTCCTGTTCTCCCCCACTTTGCCTATGGGGGTGTGTCAAACTGTTATAATGTTTATATTGTGTAGGGTGTAGTGGGGTAGCCCATAAGGGGTACAACCCAATTAGGGTTATTTCTTGTACTCAGCTCTGCGTTACTTCCTTGCTCGAGAGTTGCAGCAGCGTGGCCAGCTTCGTCTTGCTTACGTGACCACTCGGGCCAACACTGCTGATATATTCACCAAGGCACTTCAGCCTGGTGATCATGAGCGTTTCTGTACTTGTTTTAGGCCTTGTGCCTGCTTTGCCTCACTTGCTCACTTCGTGACTTTGCTTGTACTGTGATCTATATACATATACCTGCACACCTACACTTGCTAGGTTATGATCACTGCACTGTTT